CCCCCCCCCCCCCCCCCTCCCTCTCCCCTCCCACTTAGCCACAGCAATCCTCTGTCAGAGCAGAAGGTGACCACATTTAAACAAATATTCAAAATATACAGAAAACATGGAAATATATTATATATAGGTACGTATAGAGTACGGAAGTAATGTTCAGGGCAGTTTGACCGTGTCCACCTCGCCTGTTTGAAGTGTGATGCGTCTGCCAGTATACTGTCGCTCCTCCTCCTCTTCTTCTTCCTCTTTGTGTGATTTCTGATAACTCTACAGTGCTCCTTAGGAAACTATGCAAATAAAAATAAATACTATGACTCCATCCCACTGTCACTCAACAACATATTCCCATTTACGACATAATATTTTGCTATTCCTTAACGTAGATCAGAAAATAGTTATTTTATTCCCTCTTTGTGTGTGTGTGTGTGTGTGTGTGTGTGTGTGTGTGTATGTGTTTATTTTTTTTTCTTCATTTTTATCCCCAAAATACTTTTTTAAAAAAGTCGTTTCTCGTCAGATGTTGAGAAAAATATAGACCTCTGATTAACTCAGCTCTCTCCGGGTATTAGACTGCAGTCTCTTCCAGTGGAATGCAGGACCACTCCGACACCGGCATCTTCTGGACTCGGTGGAAACCCAATCCCAACTGTAAGCACACTCGCACAGGCTCAGGACGGCTCTTCTTTAGCTGTCGGCACTAGCGGGCAGGACACTCACCTCCAAGCATCCTTACAGAAGGGGTTGAGGGAGAGAGAGAGAGAGAGAGAGAGAGAGAGAGAGAGAGAGAGAGAGGAAGGAAGGGAGGCGTCTGGGAAAACCCTGGGTCTACCTCTCCTGTCCTTTCATACCATACAAGACTGACCCAAATTCCACAGTGAGAATTCACTCTTTTACCTCTGAAGTTGTACTTTGAACCCCTGTATGTTTGTCTTTTTCTGTTTAGAATCCCTCTATATGACAGTAGGCCTCCAGACTGGAGAAGAGGATGTAAAGGAACCAGAGGCCGAAAAGGAAGGCGGACGTGGCCAGTCTGTGTCCCCGGGGCCCGCCCAGCTCTCCTCCGATGTGGGCCCGGCGCCGGTAAAGCAGCACCGAGATGGCCAGGAAGGCGAAGATGGTGAAGAGAGTGACAGAGAAGGCCAGAGAGCCGGCTTCCACCACGAACGGCTTCCCCTTCATATGCCAGTAGATGGCCGCCACCGACCACGCCAAGCCGATTCCCAGGAAGACGTTGACGGCGTTGCTGCCGGTCACATTCCCGATGGAGGCGTCTGCGTAGGTGTCCTGGACTGCTGATACCTTACTGGCAAAGGTGTCTGCAGAGGGAGAGCGAGATGTCATCATATTTTGAATCAAATGTTGTCCTGCCTACTTTGAACCACAGATGGAAGTATAAACAAAACAAAAAAAAGCCCAGAAATGTCTCATCTAAAATAACCATATGATAATATAATACTGATGAAACTTTATATATCTGAATATACATCGTTCACAGCTGATTCAAAAAAAGGGTTTCAAGGCCGTTCAACACCACAATTCTCTTGTCTAATTCAATGTTATCGTTAGTGCTGTCTAGTTCTGTCTGTCAGTGTTTAAAGAAATGAAGACTACATCTCCCACAATTCCTTGTTACCTTTCACCTCATTCCCCCGAGACCTTTCAGTTTCCTGAAGAAGATAAACATGCTGGAAGCAAATGTTCAATTTCTTGCCAAATCCGCCTGTCACTCAAAATATAAATTGAGGCCAGTGGAGGCTGGCAATCTTCTCTGTATTGGTTTTCTTTGTTTATAATGTTCATATTCATATATATATATTTTTTATTTTTAAAATGAATGCAGTGATGATTTATTAATGACCTTCAATAACAAATATGCTGACAGAGTCAAAGTTTTTGGAGACATATTGTTTCTGTCGGGTGAAAATGTCAGTTTAAAGGAAATAAGAATATCAGCCATCTTGATGACAAAGCATGTTTGGAAAGAGTCTCAAAAGCTCACGAAGCCACAGATTTTCCTCAAACTATGAAAGAATCTTATAATCCATCAACTGACATAAATATACAAAACTTCAGAGGACAGATTTTCACATTACAAACTGTATATTGACAAAGAGAAGTCATCATTTTTTCACCTGGGACAGATGTACCAAGTGCCACAAACACCACAGCAGTGACTGAGTCCTTGAGGCCAATGGTGCAGCCGAAGTGAGACGCCAGGTCGCCGATGACGGCCGTGAGCAGGCCGGTGATGGCGATGGAGACGAAGAAACAGGCCCAGCCGTTCAGGTAGTCTGTGGGAGGAACGCAGGCGAACAACACCTTCCAGAAGACGGTGAGGAAGTGCATGACGTAGTCGAAACAGGACGGCAGCCTTTCTTCCCCTGTGTCCTCTTCATCCTCATCTGCTTGGGAGAAGTGGGGGGGGATAGATTGAAGTGTAATGGGAGGACAGGAGAGAGTGAAGCAGCAGAAAGGATGAAGACATAGCAGAATATTTGGGAGAGGGGTGAAGGAGGAGAAGTCAATATTAAGAGAAGAGGGAGAGAGCAAAAAAAAGAAGAAACGAGATAGAAGATGAAAATAGGACAGGGAAAGAAAAAAGAAAAACAGATGATGAAGCACAAAGAGGAGGAGGAGGATAAAGAGCCAGAGTTGGAAAACGTTGGTGAGATTAAGGGTCGATAAAGGAGATAAGGGGTGACAGAGAGGGGGAGGGGAGAGAACAACATTCTCTTAAAATGGCATATTGACTTATTTTTCAGTGTGAGACGTCACGTCATTTCAGCCTGAGGTTACTGTTGTGTATATAATAAGAAAACAAAGGACAAAAACAATGTACACAGTCTGTACATATGCTTTACTTTTGCTTTAGTTAGTAGGTTGCAGACTGCAGTTTACCCCATACATAATATTTCTACCTCATTTAATAATGCAGAGTCCATAAGCTGATTTCCCAAACTTCTCTCTGTTAACCGACTTTATGGGTAAAAAAAAAAATAAAATCACGCAAAATCCAAGATACATTGTTCAGTTTGTAGTGTGTTCACACTGGAGAAGGGACAAAATGAAGTATACTCAAGGCCGACAGCATTCTATAATAAATAAGGTTGATTTAAGAGAGCGCTGTCGATGGACACAATAGTCCCGCAATGCACTGCGCAAAGGAAATGGAAGAGCTGCTTACAGATGGAAAAAAAGTGGGAAGTGATGACTAAGCACCGTGAAAGAAGTATTAAATCTTAGGAAAACATAATTGGCAGTGACAGTTGCAGTGTGATGAATGTGTGACGCTGCACGTATGTATTTGTTTAAAATAGTATATCTAATAGTTTTTTACACTTGCTGCTAAAACAGTATCTATGATAATAGTTTACTGTGTAGAATTAGCATTTAGCATAGATTTGGGACCTATTTCATTCTGGCTTTCTGGCTGAGTTTGAAGGGAGACTTTCCCGTAACCTAAAGGTCGCAGGTCACCAGCCATTTGTTCTGTCAAAGTGAACCGCGCTCCCTGTGCGCCCCGCTTCATAAAAGTGTCATCTTGCAACAGCTAAATATCTAATATGTAAGTGGTCACCCTCCTCAGGGGGAGGAGCAGGGCGTCCTCTGTGTCCCAGCAGCTCACAGGACACTCAGTCGGACAGGAGAGACACTGTGCTGATTCAAAGTGTCAGGCCATGTGAGCCGCATGCATTTTTCAGCCACGGGTGGATCATGAAAAGATAAAGAGCACCGCTGGATTTAATATTTCAGCTCCAAATTGACGAAGCGAGGCCATCGCGGCGCCCACTACGCGGTGGCTGTGACTGCACTGCAGGCTGATCTGATGCTGCTGTCACCTGACATGATGGATGAGTTTTCTCTTAACGCACATGAGATTATTCCAGAGCTTCAAGAGCTTTGCTTACCGGAAGGCTCACACTGACACCGACTATTTTGGACTGCATGTCGGTGGCAGCCAATGATTTGAGACGACGATTTTCAATATGCTGAGAGTTAGATGAGAAGATACTAGATACCACTCATCTATCCGTCTGTTAAAGATGAAGCTACCGACAGTAGAAAGTTAGCTTAGCTTAGCAAAAAGAAAGGATTCCTTTAAAGGGGACATATTATGCTAATTTTCAGGACATACTTGTATTTTGGGTTTCTACTAGAACATGTTTACATACTTTAATGTAAAAAAACCCCAGTATTTTTCCATACTGTGTATCTGAATACACCTGTATTCTTCCTCTGTCTGAAAAGCTCAATTTTAGCGCCTGTCTCTTTAAGACCCACACCTGAAAAAGCCCAGTGTGCTCTGACTGGTTTGTCAGAAAAATAAATTTTATGTAATAAGTTCTCAAGCCGTGAGTGGTATATTCTAATGAGCCTACTTGTGACGTAAGAAGGGGAGAGGACTCTAAATGGCTTGCTGAATGATTGTTAGTCGGTACTTTAGATACCCAAATATATGTGCACAAGTTTTGCATAACATGTCCCCTTTAAAGAGTCTCCAAATTAGACTGTGGGATATTAAAACCTTCCACTGAATTCAATGATGAATAAATGCAGTTTACAAAAATGGATAATAAATCTAATAAATAAATGAAATGAAATAGAATCCTTTTCACATTTTGCACACGGTAACAGTGGCCAATCCTCATGTTGGCAATATTCACAAAAATATAAAATGTGTAAATAATTTGACAGGACACTCTGACCATGTGCTGTAAAACTATCCAACCAGGGATCCCTTTTAGATGATCATCTGACTGGTATTCAAATGTTAAACATAAAAACAATATTCAAATGTTAAAAAATGACAGATGACTAAAACCAACAAGCTGTTTATGTGAGGAAACAGTGAGGGACCATGATGTCCAGTGTATTTGTGTGCAGCCCTCCAGGAAACACGGCGTGTCTACAGTACCTGCACTGACTGTAATGGCCTCCATGAACTGGTCTCTCCAGGAGTTGGTTCCCACCACCAGTGCCAGGTTGGTCTTCTTGATCAGCTTGTCCACTGTGCTCTGTGTGAAACAATACAAGAATGAAATCCACCTGTAATTTATGTTCAGAAGCTGCTTCAACAAAAGGAATACGTGAGCTTCGCCACATGATGGCAGTGGCATCAAGTCCCAGGCAGCAGAAACCTCCGTTTGATGCATGATTAAACCACACGCCAGAAACAAATATGGTGGGTATATCGTTTGGTTGGGGAGGTTAGAGGATGCATATGAACCACATCTCCAGAAATGCATCACTGTGGGTTGGTAGGCCTCTAAAGAGCAACTGCTAAAATTCGAAATATGTATCCGTTATCTGTTTTGACTGCATAGAAAACACTCGTGCAAGCAGCAATAATCAGGCATATCGAGCTGCGTTTGACGAGCAACCTTTCCCACCTTAAACTCGTATGATTCCTCAATAATGACTTCCAGCTTGGAGTGTTCCCCCAGCACCGGTTTTCCCATCTCTGCGATCCGCCTGGCTTCCTCCTCGTCTGATGTCATCTTCCTGTCTGTTACATCTGAGCGCAGAGGGCGAGAGGGAGCAAAAATGAAAAAAGGAATCACAGTGGGAAAGATGGCAATGGAAATAAGATTAGCATGTTGCTACTTCGCAGCATACAAACAAAACATCAGAGGGTTGCCTCACTGGTATCAATTTCAATGTATTCATCCTTTATAAACTTCAGGCTTTAACGGAGAGACAAGATTTGTTTTATATGGAGTATTATCTGCAGTCATGTCTGCGTCATGGTCTTCCAACTTTGTTATTTAAAGGTTAGATAAACTTGCATGCCTGATCAAAAAACAACAACAAAACACTGCAAAGGCAAATATAACTTTATTTATTCTTAACCATTTCCCATTGTTCTACTTTTATCTGACTTTCAAGGTCCTAAAACGTCATAAACAGCGCTTGTATTAAATATGACTTTGTAAAGAAATACTTAATTCTAAAAGTTTTTTTAGGAAAAAAAAGTAATTTTCCCATTTTTTTTAGATACCCGTCTCTAACCTCATGACTTTGTGTTCATGTTAGCCGACTTCTTTTAGGGCGGTCGGGTTGTCTTGTTCTGTTATGCCCCAACCAATCAGCAGTGAGTGACTGAAGCGTCCTGCTGACGTAATTTTCAATGGAAACAGAAGCTATAAAATGTTTCTCACATTAAACTATTTGCTAATACTTTTACATTAATAAAAGAAGTATGTTGATTTAAGAGTTTTTATTTCTGTGAGATGACTTACAACAACTTAAATCTCATCCACGGCATTTTTCTGTCAGTACTTTTCATGACTGTAGCTAGGTAAGAAGACTCATCCCTAATCCCGCCAACTAAACTCTGATTGGTCGGGGGGGGGGGATATGTCTCAATGTCAATGTCCACTTACTAGTTTTTTCCCCGGGAGCCTTCTACTCTATCACACTGTCTTCATCAGCGAACGGACTTTGCTCCGTTGTCATGAGCATGGATCTGCTGACGGGAATCATCCATAAAATCTGAGCAGCTGTTGAGCTTTCATGTCAACAGATCCATCTCCAGGACAACTGAGCAAACTGTGGTTAAAAGCTCCAGGAAAAGAAACAGTAAGTGGACTATTTCAAAGGTCACGAATGAACTTTTGTGCCACTACTTCTTGTGATTTGGGTGAAATGACCCTTTAAATGCTATATCAACACAAAATCTTCATCATAAGGTTTCACAACAAGGATGTAAAGTGCTGACTGTATGACGGAGCTGAAGCAACAGTTACAAATCAAGTACTTTCAAGGCCTTCCATTCAACGTCAGTACTCTTTAAGACCTGATCAGTTCCTCTTTCTGCCTATCAGACGTGTCCTGGGTGGCTCTGCTGTAGAAGGAAGCCACAATGCTTCACAGAGCTACTGAGTGCACCGCACACTACAAAGAGCGCCACAACATCAATTCTGTGCTGTCAAACTCTATCAAGAAGGAGCGTCTGTGCATCCAAAGGGCCTCTCATCCCGCTCCGTGTGTGTGACACCCCCACTGAGCCACCTGGTGCAGAGACCTTGTCATCTCTTATACGAGCCCCGAGTCCCAGCCTGCTGCTCTTTGCTGACAACACGCTTACCATTAAATATTAACGTTGCCATTAAAGATCATAGCCCAGTCCCCTTGATAGGAGCGAGTGTCCGCAAGCACGCACACACACACACATGCAGAGACATGCATAATATACCAGTGCATGAGTTCCGGCACACACACACTTTTAAGCTAAATCAATTACACACCCAAGACAGTGTGCACCCTCAAGTCCTGACAGGACTTCTTTTGCTCATGTTTAAAAATGTATTATCCAGCCATTCCCCTGCTCCGTGCTGTACCATCTACATGACACAAATTCCTTGACAAGGAAGGAGAAAAAAAATAATAACACAATCTCACAAAGGTAATTACATTTCTAATTTTGGACCTGCAGATTTTTTATCTTGACGGTTATCAGGTGTACCTTCCTCTTGACTGGAGAACATGATTTATGGATTTATGATTAATTAAATCCGCTGATTAGCGTGAAAATCCATCATTAAGTGCGGGAGAGAGCAGCAAAAGAGCGTGTTGTTTGTTACGGTGACAGTAGAGGAGGATAACAGCGCCGGCATGCAGTTTATTTATATCAAACCTCTCTAAGTAATGACTCAAAATCTTCATCGGCAGCAAAATAAACCATCTAAACTGTCGTCCTCTGAGATTTCACGTCATGCAACCGAGATCCTAAAATTCAGGGCTGATGTTTAAACCACAGCACACACACACACACACACACACACACACACAGAGAAGATGGTTAGTTGAGATGCTTATGGGCAGCTTACCGTCTGCTAACAACAGGGCTGTGGAGGAGAGAAGAGAGGGAGGAGGAGGAGGAGGAGGAGGGAGAAAGGCATGGAGAAAACAGAAAGAGGATGAGCAGCGGAAATGGAAGAAACTTGCATCAGGACGAAAGGAGGAGAGAAATGTAATGACCTCAGAGAATGGCTGGGTATTGACCCTGAGGTGTAATATATACAGCACTGATTATTCACTTGGCTGAGGGAGCGGAAGGAATGTGGTATTTTCTATCTTTTTATGACCACAAAGGCACAATCGAGGTTTATTAAGGGAAACAATGTGCATGAGAAATACTAATTTAAAAAAATGGCAGGATATTTTGCGTCATGATCTCCAGCTATGAGCACATTAACTCACAACTTTATTACTCCCAGCTGCTGTCAGATGACACCCTTATTATCTCTAATTTAACTAGCATGAAATAGTGTTGAACTTGCTCTTTTATCAATAATAATATAAAACTTATAATTCCCATGCATTGCATCCTTATCATAATACAAAATGAAAAAAAGACATAATGCTCGTATTTGAATAAATTTAACCTTAAAAGTCAGCAATAAATAAATAATTTAAACAAAGTGGATCACCTTACTCAGATGTATTTTAAATAACTCAAGTAGATTAAATACACATTTATTATTAATAATAAGCTTAATAGATTCCAGGTAATTTCCAAACTCAACAATGAATAATTGAAAAGATTTGAGAGATTTAGAAGATGAAATTATCTGACTAGAATTAGTGACATCTACAGTTGTTGTTTTCTGGTTCCTGCTTTTATAAAATGAAATATTTTTAACACCTATTTAAATAGTAAGATTTGTCTGCATGTCCTCCAGATTGCTGCTGTGCATGAAACTTATTCTTCTTTACAAACATTGAAATATAAAAGTTGGTGGGATATAAATGATGACAGTGTCAATATGGCGGGGTTGAGGATGATGAAGATTTTATTTTATTTTATGTATTTAGTATCTGGGGAGATTTCATGTTGTTGTATATTCAACCATTCCCCAATTATTTTCTGTTTTTATCCTATTTCTTATATTAGACTTGCTACATAATTATTGGACTTTTTAAAATTCCATTCTTTCTTATAGTCCCCCTGTTGAGTTTAGGGTTTCTTTATTTTCATTTAGAATTTCCCCTGTGAGGTTTCTTACAGTTTTTCTCATGTCCTCAGGGGTTTTAAGAAGATCTTCTTGTCATGTTAGAGATTAGAAGACATTAAGACATTGCATGTGGTATTGAGCTACACAGTCTGAGGTTGTGAATAAAAGATGCACTTCAGCGAGGAAACACATTTCTATTCCCTCACTCAGTCAGATCTGGTATTCTGGTAGAATCCTTCAGGGACGAGGCAGCTAATCATCCAGTTACAACCAACCACAAACACCCAGACAATGTATAACAAACCACGCTGATGATGAAGGCGCCTCATGCAGATGCTCAGGACCACCACGCCCCCTTTCTCAGCACTTTGATTACGGCTCTGCCTGATTGTTTATCTGCATGCTGTAGCTGCAGAGCAGATCACTGACACAGCACATCGCGCTCAGACGCCTTCGGCAAAGTGTAAACCGTAACTAAATTACATGATTAAGAATAAAAGGAGGCTCAACAAGTCATCCAGCGAGGCAGATAATTACATGACAGGATACGTCATAAGTGGATGAAGAGAGAGGAGAAAGCCTTCCTGTGCGTTTCAGCCTCCAGAGATTCACATTGACAACTCTTCATTTTGAGGTCTTCATCATAATTTCTCCTTACATGCATAGGGGACCAGGACAAATGTTCACACTCTTGAAGGGATCAGAGGCTTTGAAGGACAAAATGAAGCTGTTCACTTCTTCCATGAACTCCTTCTGAAACCTCTTTCAACCCGAGAGAAGATACCAATTAACCTGTTTGTGTTCGGAGGCAGCTTATCAACTTCCTCAATCCAATGCGGTCCACAGTTAATCATCATAAGTAGCTAAGTGCATTAATTGCTGTGGGCGACTTGCTTCATTATCATTAGTACTAGCCGAGCCGTGGTGATCTGGAGCCAAGTGTGGCGTAAAACCCAGCTGTGGTGAGTCTGAGTGGCCGTACCCCAGTCAGTGATAACAGTGTGTCATTTAGTAAAGGCCGGTGAGGGAGCGGCAAACACACACACACATTCAGATAAATACATATAAAACGCACAAACAGCAGCAGACAAAGTCAAACCACACAAGCACATACAACATATACTGGTATATACTCACAAATACTGTGTGCAGTGCTGTTGTCTGTCTGTATGCAGCATTATACGTTAAGAATTGTAGCAGTGTGCCTCCAAAAGTCAGTCTTTGCTAAATTATCAGGAAGGAAACGCATTTGACATGTTTGTTGAGCCTCAAGGGGACCGAATGTAGAACGTAAACATATCCAAGTTCAAGTAAACTCCACAGGGTACCGTTAATCTTGAATTTGAATCAAATCACTAAACGATTAATGAACTAATAATCTCAGCGCAACAGAAAAACAACAGAGTTGCATACAGCACAAACACACACACACAGATACAAAAGTGCAAATACGTACAGACTTGCACATGCACACAAACAACACATAAGATGCTGATAAAGAAACACACAAACAGAGGTGTTTTCAAAAGCAGACTCATAATACCGATCACGCTCACAGCCCAGAAGGTTGTCATTTTGCCAGCAGTACAATTGCGATAGGGAAGATTAACCAAAGGGATGTAATTGGAAGGGTGGAAGACCGCATGTGTGTGTGAGAGTGTGGGGGGGGGGGGGGGGGGGGGGTGGGGTGTGTGTGTTTAACCGTTGTCATCATCAGCGTGTTCTCCTGCGCACTCGGCCAAATCAGATCTGTCTCGTTACAAAAGAGTGAGTCCTTTTCTGGCTCTCTCACACACACACAGCCGGGCTCTGAGTCACAGCGTCAATACAGCCGCTAATGTACGCCTTCTCTCTCCACAGCTCATTAAGACAGAATCATCATTTGACTTATCAGGGCTATTCTGGTTTTTGGAGAGGCCCGGAGGTGGATCTGGGCCTACGCCTGGAGCTGCATGTATTCGTGACGCGAGGAGAGAGGTACAGAAGAAGGGAGAATCTGGTGGATGCAGGAAGGAAGGAATGAGGAGATGGCTTAATGGATTTATGGAGCGATAGAGGGATAGAAATATATGGGGATGGAGGGATTGGTGGAGGAAGGAGAGGAGGAATATGGATGGGATATGAAAGGATGAGATTGTGGAGATTGGAACAAGGGAAAGAGGGAGGAAATGAATGGTAGATGTGAGGAGTTAAGGAAGGACAGAGATGCAGGTATTGATGAGTGACATTTTGAAAGGAGGAATTGATGGAAAGATGGGTGTAAGAGGTGCAGAAGAATGGAGAATCTGGTGGATGCAGGAAAGGTGAAGGCATAAATTGAAGAATGGATTTCTGGAGAGATGGAGTAACGGGCTAATGGATGGACTGGTGGACAAAGGAGAGAAGGAATGGATGGAAAGGATGGCAAAAAGTAATGGAGGGATGCAGGAAAGATGAATGATGAATTTGTGAATGGATTTATGGATTGATAGAGGAATGGACTGACAGGGGGGATTGTCAGAAACATGAGAGCAGAAGAAGTATAGAGGAAGCAAGAATACAGGAGGAATATTAAAGACGGGATGGGATGTGGAGGGATGGAGAGTGGAGCGATGATAAATAGATTTATGGAGGGAAAGAAGAATAGCAACATGGATGGATGATTGATTGAGAGAGGGGAGGATGCAGATATTGGTGGAGGAAGGAGAGGATGAATCGAAGGGGATGGAGTAATAACGTCATGAGGTAAAGAAGGAATCTGAGTTATGGAGGAATGGCGTCTGTTATAGAGCTCTGGACAAGAGCTTCACACATTCACACGTTTGGCAGCAGAGCTACAGTGGACGGTACACTCTTAGGAATAAGGGTTCCAAAAGGGTTCCTCCTGAAGGGCTGGGGTTCTATCCAGAACCATTTGCTTCTGAAGAAAGGGTTCTTTGTAAGACTACGGGTTCCATTAAGAACCCTTCAGATCCAAAGAACCCTTTTTGGAAGAAAGAGTTCTTTAATGATCGATAAAAGCATAGGTGTTAAAAGAACCCTGCATGGTTCTAGTTAGCACCTTTATTTCTAAGAGTTTTGGTTCAGTTTTTTGCTCAAGGACCTCCAGGTCTGAAAAGTGAAGCCAAGTTGGAAGTGCCTTAAACCTGCATTCTTTCTATTGACCAGCAGGGGGTGACTTCCATAGTTGCAAAACGAAGTCTGATTGTATGGAAGTATATGAGAAAACCCTACTTCTCTCTTGATTTATTACCATAATAAACATCGTAGACATGAGTTTATGGTCTCAATCGCTAGTTTCAAGTCTTCTCTAATACAAAATGATGTTCATTTAGTAAATCATGGTCTCATTCAGAGTCATATAGACCATAAAGCAGGGTATGCAAAAAGCCAACATGGCGATGCCCAAAATGCCGAACTCAAGGCTTCAAAACGGCTGTCCACAAACCAATAGGTGATGTCACGGTGACTACGTCCACTTCTTATATACAGTCTATGGCCACAACCAAAGCAAGGAATATGACAGAAAAGGTGTAGAGGAGTAGAGGAATTAATGAATTAATGGGTAGGAGGATAGAGGGATGAAAGGATGGACAGATGGATTGTTAGGGGGATGAAAGGAATTGTAGATATAGTAAATGAGGAAACGGAAGAACTGACTTATGCATGTAGTACTGAATGGATGGGAGAGGTACAGACATGTAGACGTGGAGGGACGACTGATGTTTCCTTCAACTGTCCAATCATGGAGCTTCATTACAAAGACATAATCTACTGTACCAATGATAAGTCATCACTGTCCACAATGTGCACACACACATAAATGCATGAGGATATTTATACACAGGCTGTACATCCACCTACAGACATATTGGCACCCAGACTGTGTCCAATCAGAGTGTTTCCTGCAGCTCAGAGTGATGTGTTAAACAATAACAGTTCAGGCGTCGCTGGTCTGCACCGCTACTCAACTCGCACCAAACACACACACACACACACACACACACACACACACACACACACACACAATGTCGGAGAGAAACGAGATGACAAAGACGAATGCTTCAGCTGCCTTTATTATCTTTCAATATGCAGGCTGTGTAACACGTCCATCATCTTGTTATGCTCTATCCATGTTTCTGACGGCAATGGAATCGGAAGGAGTCAAAATGCTAAGTACACGCCATACTTCATCTTCCGAGGCAGCACTGCCAGACTGAATGAACTGATGATTTAACTGAATGCTGGATGATTTCACTCGAGCATCCTGATGGACGTCTTTCACGGATGAAAAGTCATGTTTTTAATCTTGCTGAGCTAATTAAAGTCGCTACGTGTAGCATTTTGACATCAATAAATCTCTGACACATTCATCTTGAGATATTAGGGTGATTACTGTAAACAAATACAATCATTGCCAAGAAAATTGGCAGCTTCTACCAGTCACAACACTTTATTTTTATATAATGTGACTGAGTGCTACGTTTACAGCACAAAGCAGGATAAGATCTGTTTCTTTCAGAACAAACGGAGCTGAAGCTTGATCCCGTCTAGCCTTTTTTATTCTCAGTAAAGTACCTTTAAAAATTACTTTGTGATGTTTCACAACACGACAGACAGATCTTTTAAATACTTGTTTTCTTGTTCTCTTTCAGGACATTTCTGCTGCTGTTCTCTCTGTTTTTGGCCTCTATGTTAAAGGAATAATTTGTTATTTTGGGAAAACTTTCTGCTTTGCTAAGAGTCCAATGAAAAGATTGATACCCCTTACATGTCTCTCCGTTATATATGAAGCTACAGTCAGTTCGCTTACCTTAGCACAAACACTGAAAACATGGAAACAGCTAGCAAGAATGACCCTGCGCTGGCCAATTTCTCCACATAACCCCTTGTGAAAGCACCACTTTTTATTCCGGATTAAACAAACAAGATGTAACATAGTGAAAAGTATACGTTTTGTTACCTTTGGAAGAAGCCAAGCTGGCCGTTTCCCCCAATTTCGGTCTTTGGACGCTGCCTGTCGTTCCATATTTACAGTGCAGACGTGAGCTTGTTATTGTTCTTCTCATCAAAGTCTCTGTAAGAAAGTAATGACGCATATTTCCCAAAATAAACTGTTACTTTAAGAAGGACCAAAACAAATCATTTCACCATTAGGTTCCATATTTGGTTTAATCTGTATCTCTGATGACGGCTGGTTTAGGAAAGCACAGAAACCCCAGACAGCCTGCCTCTGGACTCACAAGAGACGCTCCTAATCGGCCCATATGCTTCATTTCACATGGGACAGTTCTCATATTAACCAGAGTCTCGTTCCTCTCGCTATGTCTCCCTGAATCTCTGGTGGTTCTCCCTCCACGGCCTTTTGTTTCACTCTGAATCTCTCCCTTTATCCTTTCCCAGCCTCTGTCTCATTTATTTTATCTCTCCCCGTCTCTGTTTGCCACTATCTCTCACATATCTTTCTACTTCTCCACTCATTCCTCTATTTTGTGTTGTTTCCTGTTTCATTCCCTAATGTGTGTCTCTCTCTCCCTGTCATCTATCTGCTGTCAAATTATTAATAACAGTTATAAAATGCACCAAAATATCAGCATTAAACAATACCTGAAACTTTCCTGTACTGTTCATTTCTGTTTTATAGCAATGTATTGTCCTCAAATTGTCCCAAAAGAATCACCTCCAAGATATGTCAGATGAATGTTCTGCTTGTCAGCTAATACTGCAATTAACAATTGTTTTAATTACTCTGCAGATTTATTTCTGGATTAATCGATTAGTTGTTTGGTCTATCAAATTTCAGAAGCAGAAGAAGAACTAGTTATTCCCAAATCAATTACTGACATGTGTGAACATTTCAGCAAGTTCATCGTCTTTGGTTGACTGGGTGGTCGACTCATTTATCCGCTCATTCATGCTACACTGGAACAACAACAACAACAACAAAATGTGTCACTCGCTCCCCGATCCGCACATTCTGCTCGATAGGTAGTGGGCAACTCATCTCTCAACAAGAGACGAGAGTTGCACATTTCTCATCTCTGGTGCTAGCAGAGAGTGAAACATTAGCCAGAGTTAGCAAAATGTCATAATTTTGGCAATATTTTACACTGGAAAATCTGTCAGACTGGCTAATGGCATTCCTTCTCTGTACTGTATGTATTTGTTCATATTTTACACAAAAACAAATTGCATTGGACCATCTATACTTTGTAGCGTGTATTTGTGTGCATCTTCTGGAAAGAGACTTCCTTCACAGCACACGCAGATACACAATGAACTAATAGAAAGGCATTCAATGTGTTTGTTGTTTTAGCTGCGGTCTCACTCTGTCGGTTGGTCCGTCCACAAAAATGTCCCCACCCTTTGGCGGCCACAGTTTTTCGCCCTAGGAGGCTGAAATTTGGCACGGACGTCAAGTGTTTGTGAGGTTGTGTCTGTGGGAATGCATGAACGTGTGGATGCATGCGTGTAGGTGGCTGCAGTTATTGCGAATTCGCTCCTGTTTCAATGCAATTGGTTTAATTTGTGTGATTTGACAAAGGCTTGTAGAAAGCAGAGTGATTAAAAAAATACATTTACAGCAGCAGTTGGTGGAATGATTATATTTTGACATGGAGTAAAAAAGCAAATGAGGGAAACTTCACACAATAAATTTCTAGATCTCTCCACCGGCCCTAGTTTCCTTTTCCCACATCTCTCTCCGTCTTTCACAAGCGTTACTCCCCTCTTCTCTCTGCCTCCACATTGCTGTTTTTTATGCATCTCTCTCCTCCTCTCTCTCTGATTCGTCCAGTCCAGATGTCACGCTGTGCCGTGCGGATCAAGTGGAGACAAGCTCCCTCTACTTGTTAACAGTCTGTTTATTCTGCAGCCATATCAGCCTCGCTGCCGTGTCAGCAGCAGGCAATTACAGAGCAGATTACCAACCCTGATAATGTCATCAGACCAAGCCTCACACACAAACACACACTCAGTGAACACACACAAACAAAATAAAGACACGTATTTACACAGTTCACAAGTTCACTGCTTACTCAACAACATGTTGAGAGTTTTCTCACACAAACACTTTTAGCGGTGGGGGAAAGAAATTAGGAACTAATCTTCAGTACTGCTGCAGTTAGTTTGCATATTGAGATTTTTCATTCAAAACACATGAGCAGTTAATAAAAGATGAGGCAATATTCGAGATTAACATCTTAATTTTCTTGATTTCACCTAAAATTGACTACATACTGACTTTCATTACATAATTACCACAGTTTGACAGAGTCACATCCAACTTTTATTTAATATGCATACAGGGACGAGAGTGAAACATTATTTTAAACTTGTACAGAAATGCAGCCCCGGCATGTATTTTTGAAGTGGTTCTTTTACTTCAAGGCAAAATTCGCCACCTTTTATGTGGATGTCCAAACCTGAATCCAGCGCCGTCATTTGACGTGACAGTGACGTAGTTGGATGCAGGGAAGAACTACAGGTGCTTTTTCAGCTTGCATTTCTGGTCTCTGCCTCTGGGGGTGCATGCTCTAGATGCCGCTAAAAAAACAGAACTTCTGTGTTCTTTTTGCTTGTGTTGCAAACTATCACAGCTGCGAAAATGGCATCCCAACATATGAGGGCAGAGGATGTTATGGACGAGGATACATTTTACAGTGTGTCGGGAGAGAGGGCGAGGCTGGATGAGCAGGAGGATGCGGCTGGCGGGGGAGTCTGGGAGTCAGAGGCTTGTGTGCAGCAATGCATTCTGGTAAATGAAGGTACTGTCGGCCCAGCTCCCAAGCAGGAGAACTCAGCTTTCTCTGTCAATATAGTACGCACTGCGGAATGTATTGCTTTAATTGACTACATTTACCATCAACACTGATTAGACATCAACATAAAAAGTGTCAAATGTTCCATTTAAGGATCTGAATGCTACATCCTCCACTGATTATTAGCATCACTATACTTGTGAGGACTTCCACTAACTTTAATCCAATGTCTAACTGTTTAACAGAAAGAAATTTAACTGCCCCCCCCAAAATTCTTCAAAGCTTCACTAGTAAGAATGTCCTTATTGTAGCAGCTTTTTCTTACATTTGTCTTACAGTTTTATTTTTGATATTTTCTGATATATCTTCTTATATTTGTAAATACAGACACGCACAGACACGCAAGTAAACATGCAGGTTTGCTCTCTGGAGACGCTGTGCTGAGTTCACAAAGGAGGGAAGCGTCTCTCGGTCGTTGCCCACCGTGCTGACATCACTGATGTAACCCTGAGCCCTGATTAACTGCCCTGCTCAGCTGAGGGCGCACCGACGGAGCCACGGCCGACTCCGAGCCGTCTCACTGGCTTCTCACAGAGGCGAAGCCCCAAGGATCCTTCTGAAGCCCTCAATATCCACTTATCATACGCAACATTAATAACTTCAACAATATTATCCATTTTCCACAGAGAGCAGCAGTGGAAGTAACTTTTTTTTGTTAATACTTTCATGTCTGGCCCTCTGGGTATGAGACAGCCTGCGTATGAATATTTTATCATGTGTATTTAAAGAATCTTGTTCCTAAATGGGACATCCTCCAGAATTAACACAAAATTAAAACAAATGATTAAGTAATGCAAGTCTTTTGTTGACACAATAATAACCCCATTCAAAACTTAACCATCTGCGGTTTATTCTGGAAATATTGAACAATGACCTTCATGTGACTGTTCTCTAAAAAAAAAAAGAATATAAAGGGCAATAAACTCATTCATTCATCCTTTTACCCACTTAGTGCTGTCACATCGACGGATTATGAGACAACAAGCTCCTGGCACAGACGAATGCCCTTCGCCCCTCCTACAAAGGAGCAACACACCCAAACGGAGCTAAATGCTAACATCAGTATGCATGCAAACACGCTCACCCTGACAATGCTAACGTGTTGATGGAAGCGAGATAATGTTTAACATGTTTACCATTGTAATTTAGCATGTTAGCACTAAACACAAAGTACAGCTAAGGCTGATGGGAATGTTAGTTCTGCAGTATTTGGGCATATGGATAAAGAAAATGGCGACCCACTTATAGAAAAACAGCTCCACAGCTGTCTGGAACCTTCAAGGTTTTCTAGACATCAAATCACATATTTTTAGGATTTAGGTTTAATCTATTTAAATTCAGTAATTACCTCTCTATACATTAGTTTCATTGTTAGTGGCGAAGTCCGCCACTCCTATCCAGGATTAAAATTGTCTTCACGAACAAAGGATTTGTGGGATATGAGGCTTGCATGGAATCCTGTTTTGTTTGACAAATGTGATGAGGACATCACTAATTTTAACTGAGCTCTGTGAATGCTAACAGTCACGTCAAACTGAGGCTCTGGCCTCCCATTCAGTTATCCATCCATGGCTGTTCACAGCAACATGGACAAACACTCCCATTCACACATCTGAGGCGACTACTGAGCCACCCAGCAACAATCTATTCTGGTCCAAATAAATCAGATCATCACAGGGAGCTGTTCGGCATCAAAGAGATGGACTTTCATCGCTGTGAGAAAAATGCAAAGCACCTGACTTGCACCTCCTTAGAGCATGAGGTGTGTCATTGTGGAACAAAGTTATACTCGGGGGGGGAATTTGAGAAGGTCATTACCGACATCGACATTAATGAGAGCCCACATAGAAGGCTGGCCCTCACCCGTGCGTTAAGACGTTCCTGACACTGTGGTGTGCCACCGGCACGGCAGGTAGCAGCGCGGCTCATCCATATCTCCGTGCTGAGAGCAGCCCCCACACACCTCTCAGGAACAATTACCGCTCTTCCAGCTCCTCGTCACAGATGGCGAGGGCTTTAAGAGCGACTCCCTCCCCCTCCCCCATCTCCCTCCTCTTCTCTATCTGTGTCTCTTTGGTTGACTGTGTCTGTCTCTCTCTCCACCGCTCCGTCTTTTTTTTTTAGTTTTTTTTTTTTAATGCTCAGACTATTTCTGTCGCTCTCTCCTCCCTCAGCAGTCCACCTCCCCCACTTTCCCTCTCGGCCTCTCACGGCTCCAAATTCAACAGTTCAATTTAAATCCATTACACTTAAGCCC